ATTCTTGTTGTTGAAATGTTTTTTCGCTCTATTGCTTAACACAATCATCATCATCATCATCATCGTCATCATTATTATCAAATTGAAATGATGATGTTGTGGTTCGATTCGGAATTGTAATGTGTAAATCAATTTTTTGTCATCTCATTTTTTTCTGTTTTTTTTTTGTTTGGATTCATATGACCAAATAAATTAAATTTTTTTTCCAATAATAAAAAAAAAATCAATCATCACTATACATAGTAGTGGTATTGGTGATATGAGGAGAATTTTTTTTTGGTTTAATTTTTTTTTTTTTTTTTGAATCATTTTTTGTTTCTGTTGTTGTCGAAGTTTTCAAAGATATATTGTATACTACTTTTTTCTTTTGTTGTGTGTATATATATAGAGAATACATACACAGACACATCCTGTGTGTATATAGATGACACACACACAGGATATGGACTGAATTGAATTGAATTGAATGAATGAATATTTTATTTTGATTCAAGTATTTTTTTTTTCTTCTGCTACCGAATCATCGTATATAATGTTTCAAATGTTTCAAATGTTTGTTTGTTTGTTTTTTCTGTCGGTTTGACATACATTTTTTGTTTGTTTGTTTGTTTGTTTGTTATTTGATGTTGATTCGCTGTGGAGTGGAAATAGTTTCCACATTTACACCCCTCTCTCACACACACACACATACCCATTAACCACTATTATCAGCAGATGTAGGATAAAAAAAATGTTTCACTGATATCAGACAAAAATTAATGTTTTTTTTTTATTCTCGATCCATTAAAGAAAAAAAAAATCCCTGAAAGTTGAATAGAATTAAGAATCGTATTGTTGATCAAATATCGAATCCTAGATAGAATAAAGAATGAGAAATATCAAATCAAATCAAGATAAAAACGATTTATATAATCATTAATTTTTTATCATCATCATCATCTTACTACTCATAATGTTTATTTTCTCATAAAATGGATCATCAGCATCGTTTTTGTCAAAATTCCACCCACACCACACACATTTGTAGACAAAACAATTGTCAATAATGGGCGTGTATATCTATATGTGTGTGTGTGCATAAAACAGCAAATAATAAGAATTTAAATGCAAATAATAATAATTAGGTCATTCAATCTCCGGGTTTGTATTTGGTATATGTCTCTGTGTATGTGTGTGTGTGTCTATGCGATGGTAACATTGACCTTTTTTTCCGCATTCATTCAATGTTCCAGTTCTAGTTTTATCCATTTCATATTTTCTTGATTCATTGCGCACGATTCTTTCTGCCTACATAGACACACACACACACAAAAGATATTCAACTTTTCATCAACACAACAAGATGATGAAAATGTCATCGACAATAATGATAATGTGACAAAATAAATGTCGTTCGTTTTTTTTTCGGACCCTTGTGAAATTGTTATGAAACGTTGTTTTTGTTGATGATGATGATGATGATGATGATGATGAAACTGAATTTGAAATTAATAATTCGATCCATTTCAATTCCTAGAAATTTTAAAAAATTTCTCTCTCTCTCTCTCTCTCTCTCTCTCTCTCTCTCTCTCTCTCTCTCTCTCTCTCTCTCTCTCTCTCTCTCTCTCTCTCTCTCTCTCTCTCTCTCTCTCTCTCTCTCTCTCTCTCTCTCTCTCTCTCTCTCTCTCTCTCTCTGTGTGTGCTTGTGTGTACCGGGCTTGAACATTGAATTTTGATTGTTGTAGAAAAAAAAATTGTGCCCAATTGGGAGGACTATGGAACGGTTCCGTATCGGTGATCATCATTCTTTTTTATCAATGGTTTGGATGTGAATTTTAAAGTGTGAAATGAAATGAAAAAAAAAATTATTCGTTTCAATGGATAACCAATAGTGAAAAACACTTATATTTGAAAAAAATAGTAGAAGAAAAGCAAAAAAAAAAAGATTTGAAAGAAATTTAAAATGAAAAAAAAATTCTTTAGAATTCTTTAATAAAAAAAAGTGAATGAAAAATGAAGCCAGCTTCTGGAAATCCATCAAACTATTGAACCGACCACAACAACAACAACAACAATAACGACGACGACGACCAATCACACACACACACACACACACACACACACACACACACATGTGATAGTGGCAAATATATAGAATCCATCAATAATCGAACTATCAATATACCATCATATCAATATATTTAGCTTCAAAGATTTTCAAAATACTACCACCCCTTTAAAAAAAAAATTCAGGTTGATCTAGATTCTGTTTGATTCTTTTCTGTTCCCTATATATATAGATTCACCCTGTGTGTGTGTTGATTGTGCCGCGAATTTAACACACAAGAATAATATTTATTGACAGCAGAAATGAAAATCGTATGAATAAAAAAAAAAATATGTCTGTGTGTAGGAAGCGATTACATTGAAGCCACTATGCACATCCGTGTGTGTATGTTTTGTATGTATCATATAACCGAACACGAATTTTTTTCTAATTTTTTTTTCACAGTGTTTCTTCAAAACTACCAAAAATCGTATGGATAAATGAAGATTCGTTTCATATATAATAAAATAATTTTTTTTTACTCGTTTGTTGTTGTTGTTGTTGTTGTTGTTATTTCGGTTATATTCTCTGATGAATCCAATTTGTATATTGTTCACATATATAACCTGTGTGTGTGTTTATGTTCACAGTGTTCGTGGAACTTTTTCTTTGTCGTACGTAGCGCATGTACGTTTTTTATCTTTAAAATTTTTTTTTTCGGGTTATATCATGAATCACACAATATAAAATCACACACACACACACACACACAGAATGAAGAATTCATTCGAGGTTATATTCAATGGGCGCATGTACAAATATTATAACTAGAGAAGAAATTATTTCGGGTCGAATCATCATCATTGGTTGGTCTAGTTTTTTTTGCATTTCTTCTGTTTTGTTTGTTTGGTTCTTGTTGTTGACGAAATCTGGTTTCAAGTTTTTTTTTCCTCATTTGTCGAATCGATATATTGGTAGTATATTATTACTACTAGAATAAAGTAGTGGTAATAATTTTAAATGGCAGTAGATCGGTCATCTACTTGTGATATTTATAAAAAAATTTTCCATTCTTCTCTTTTACCACTACTACAACATATATATAATTCATTTGATCTTTGGGCGCCTTTTTTTCCACTGACAATATATAACCAGAATTCTATCTAGTTCAACAAAATTCTGGTTCTCCCGTTTTATTCATATGTTTGTGTGTATGTTTAGGGCTCAGGTTCGAAAGAAGAAAAGTTTGAAGACAACGACGACGACAGAAAAACTGTTTGTCTGTGTGTGTGTGTGTGTGTGTTTGCGTGTGAGACAGAAAAAAAACCTTTGGTTTTGGCTTAGGTTTTTTTTCTGACAACGACAAGAAAAATTGGGGGTAGGCAACATGAATAGATAGAGGAAAAAAAAATTCTGGCTTCTGGTTATTGTTATTTAGGGGTATATATGCTTCTTGGTTTTTTTTCGAGCTTGTTTCAAAGATTTGATCCAAAATAAAAAAAAAGAAAATTCTTTCTCCCTCTCTCTCTCTCTCTCTCTCTCTCTGCGTGTGTGTGTGTGTATTACTGATTGAATATTTTCAAATCATTTTTTTTATTTTGTTTTCTGTTTCATCATCATCATCATCATCATCATTGTTATCGTCGTAAACGGCCACACACAAACACACAGACAGAATGAGAGAATATTCTGCATCTGATTTCTATGTTTAATGTGATGTGTGTGTTTTTATGAACGAAATAGGAGAACAAACACAAAAACAAAAATGAAGAATTCAAATTCAAATTGTCTGTGAATCTTAAAAATTCAATGTTTTGCTTTGTCATCTGATAATTTCATCATCATCATGATTTGATTGATTTTTGACAACTTTTTGTTGTTGTTGTTGTTGTTGTTGATGATGTTAATGAAAAGTGATACGGAATTGATTGATGTAACGCTTGTTAATGAATGTTAATTGTCAATGTATTTGTATGCATGCATGTGTGTGCGTGTGTGTGTGTGCGTGTGTGTGTGACACAATCAGTCGCATACGAATCATTTGATCATAATTGATTTGTTTGATTCAATATAAATCAATATCATCAAAATCAATCAATCAATCATTCATCATCATTAAAACATGACCAATGTGATTGATATACAACAGCTACACAATAAAAAATAATGGAAACATCAACAACAACGACAACAACAACAACAACAACAACAACAACAAATGTGACTATTTCAATGAAAACGAAAAAAAATTGTACAATTATGATGATGATGATGATGAACGATAATAACAACAATGATAATTGTGATGATAAATGGCTACAATCATTAATGCCATCACCTTTATTATTATTCGTTGTAATTAATTTAATGTTTCTAATGAAATGTGTCCATTATTATTATAGCCAAATATGTTTTCGTATCCAGAATACCAATTATTGATCAATCAACAATAATCGATATTTATTGTTCGATCAATTTTGATTGAAAAGAAAAAATCATTTCACGAATTTTGTGTGTGTGTATATATATGTGTATGTGATAAATTCCAATCAACCCGATAAGAAAAAAAAAATTCTACCACCACCACCATCTTGTAATTAATCGATCAAAAAAAAAAAAAAAAGAATTTGTTTCTTGAAAAGAATTTAATCACAGAATTACCATTAAAAAAATGATGGTGACTATTAAATGAACTAAATCTTGAACACTTGAATCTAGAAAAAAAATTACATTTTTTTTCTCATTTTAATATTTCTATCATCATTTGACCATTGGCCAAGGTCATTCTAATTCATTGAAAATTCAAAAAAAAGAGAAAAAATTATTAAAATTTTAATTTGATTTCTGATGAAATTGGCCATCACTATCACTTCTATTATTGCTCATCATCGTCATCGTCATCATCATCATCATCATCATCATCATCATCACCGTCACCACCATCATCAACAACAACATTTATCGACCATTTCACAAAATTCAAATCGAATCATTATTATTTTAATAAGCGATATCAATCATCATCATCATCAAAATCACCGTCCGTATCCATTATTTTATCATCAACAAATATCGACAATACTGGACAAACGGATCGAGAAAAGGAAAAGGAAAACAATATTGATATTAATCGGACGGAAATCAAACATCATCATTTTTATTTCATTCAAATTTGCATATTCATCATATTCATTCATTAACAATCGACGGAAGTCACCATCATTATCATTATCATTAGCATCATCATTACTATTATTATTATTATTATTATTATCAATTTATGATAATAATAATAATAATTATAAAATGACCGGTGATAAGGTCGAAGTTCAAAATGAACCATCATCAATATTAAGTGATGGCCAACGTGATGATAGTAACGGTACTGCCCAGAGCCATTCACAACAAAGTAATATCCAATCTAATAATAATAATAATAACAATAACAATAATAATAATCACAATACGAATAATAATAATAATAACAACAATAATAATAATAATAATAATACCAATCATAATTGTAAGAATAATTGGTGGAATTGTTGTTGCTGTTGTTGTTCATGGTAAGAATATTTAAAAAAAAAAATTCTTTAGGATTTAAAAATTTCTAAGAAAATTTTCATTTTTTTTTCCTGGGAATTTTACCGGTAACGTTGTTCGATTCGAATGTTTACGATATGTCTGTCTGTCTGTCTGTGTGTGTATGTGTAGCATATCGATTAAAAATCATTCAGAAAAGAATACGGAAAACAAGGTTCAATTATCTTCCATCGAAAATTATTTCAATGATGACAATGAGCCTCTGTAAGTGATTTAATTTTCAAATTTTTTGTTTTGTTTTGTTTTGTTGTTTTTATTAATCAGCGTTTTCTTTTTTTTTTCTTTCTCATGACAAAATCGAACGACAACAACAACAACAACAACAAAAAGGCCTACGATTGAAGAAATCAGAAGTTGGGCAGATTCATTTGATAAATTAATGAAATGCAAATGTAAATATTTGTTCAAACAATTTTTATTCAAATATTTTTCACTTATTTTCCAAGAAAAATGTGTTAAATTTTTTGATTAAATATTAATATTTTTTTTTATTCTCATTTGTTTATATATTACTTTCTTTCACTTTCATTCTCGTTCATTGTTTATGATGACCAATAGATGGCCGTAAAGTATTTCGTGATTTTCTTAAATGTGAATACAGTGAAGAGAACATAATGTTCTGGTTGGCATGCGAAGATCTTAAACGTGAATCCGATCCGGAAATGATCGAGGAAAAGGCCCGTCTTATTTACGAGGATTTTATATCCATTCTATCACCACGTGAGGTATGTGTTTTCAAAGTTTTCAATCAAAAAAATAAATGCATAAATTGTTTTTTTGTCATTTTTAGGTGAGCCTTGATTCACGTGTACGTGAAATAATCAATAAAAATATGATTGAACCAACACCGAATACATTCGATGAAGCTCAGTTACAAATCTATACGCTCATGCATCGAGATTCTTATCCACGTTTTATAAATTCACAAGCCTATCGACAACTCGCACAACTGCCTACATCAAGTCGTAAAACAAGTGCTACGTAATAACAACATTTGACCAAAAAAAAAAAAAAAACAAACGAAATCATCATCATCATCATCATCAATATGAACATCAACAATTGATCAAGAATTTGAACAAAAAAAATTCAATTGAATCACATGATGAAATGAAAAAACAACTATTGATTTCTTCTCTCCTTTTTTTGGATTCCGCTTTTTTCTCTTCCCTCCACTTACACTCACATACACACACACACACACACCTGTATTATATAAGAAAAAAACCACACGTTATTGCTTGTTATATTTTCTACAAAAAAAAAAGAATTAACATTATATATTAACCCTTTTTCATTCTCTCTATCATTTCCTTTTGACTCAATTATATACGAACAATACTACCGACAACAACAACAACAAATAATTATATCACACACACCACCTACAAAAAAACGATATAAGAATAAATTAAGATACAATATTTTCCTTGCAAATTGATGCTCTGTTACATTACACAAATCAATCAATATTTGTAATCGATTCTGATTTATATTCAAAACTTAGCTTTCATCATCAGATTATTATTTCGTAGATCGATCGTCTTTAAAATTTAGATTTTATAAAAAAAATTAGCCAATAAATCCAATATATAGGGCGCAATACACATACTATATATAGTCAAAATGATCAACAAAAAAAAAACAAAAAAAAAAATAAAAAATTCTTCAATGACAACCAATGAATATTCTGATTATTCAATCGAATCACAAACACATTTGTACACACCGCTTCTTTTTTTTCTCTATAATATTCATTCAGACATATATATTACTGGTAGATACAAACAAACACACCCATCCACCCACCAAATAAACACACACATACACACACACACACATCAGAATATATAATCTGTGATTAACTTACTTCTTCTTATTCTTCGCTTTATCTTTATCTCTGATTATTATAAATGTTTTACAACAACAACAGCAACAACAAAATTGATAATTTTTTTTTTCTTCTTTGAGTGTGTGTGTGTGTGTATGACATCCATATATATTATATAAATAAAAATGGCATATTCTAATTCACTTCCTACACTGAAAAAAATCATCATCATCATCATCATTAAATTTTATTCTTTATTCTTTACTGTTATCGTTATTGTTGTTATTAATTTTTGCAAAGAAAAAACAAAACTTGAAACGGAAATGAAATTTTACACACACACACACACACACAGTTGCTTATTGTACATACACACTACTACACTACTACTACTACCACCAATTTAATTCATATCATCACAAAAAAAAAATCTATTACATTATCACCAATAATATTCGATTCGATATTTATTTTTCTGATTTCTGATTTTTTTTCCTTTTCAAACAACAAAACAACACTATAACAAAATGGACAAATTTATGTTTCGATGTTTAAAAGTTGATGATGATGATTCATGAAAGATGTTCAGAGAGAGAGAGAGAGAGAGAGAGAGAGAGGAATTTTTTTCTGAAATTCTACGATTAAGCGAACATCAATAATCAATTTGTAATTTCCCCCCCACACACACCTCATTTATTATTGGGTTCTATTATTCTGTTGAAAAACACACACACACCTACACGTGGAGGGAATTTTTTTTTGGATGAATCATTGAAAATGGACCAACAAATTTTTTTGTTATTTTATGTATTTCGGAACAGCGAACGAAGCAAGCAAAAACATAAACACAAACACAAACAAAACGAAGAATTTTGATTGTATTTTAGGCTCAATTAAATTAATTAATTGCAACGAAAAATTTCTGTTTTTTTTTAATTATTAATAATAATCATAAATGAATAAAAATGACGAATATTTAAATAAAACGAAAAAAAAATTCGAATTCTTTCACGGCTGCTATTTCCACCCACTGATTACTATGTACAGTATAAATAGATGTTGTTTATTTTCAATGTTTTTTTTTCTTTGAAATGTATAAACAAAAATAGAAAAACTCACACGTTTTCACTCGTTTAATAATTTTTAAATTGAATTTTTTTTTAAACCACCAAAAAAAAAAAATGGAAAATGAATCACGATTATCATCACATACGAATAATGATGACGAAGTAATGGCAAATGATGATGAATATTTTGGCAATCTCGGCACACTGATCAGTCCATCATTGCCATTTGGACAAACAAATCAGATGCAATTAAGAAATCCTGCCCATATTGTTGGTGAAAAAATAATCAATCCTCGTATACACATGTGTGATAATTGTCAATTGCCAATTCTTTTCTATGGCCGTATGGTAAGTAATTGATTCTTTTTGTTTTTTTTTCGAATGTAATCGAGAATTTTTTTCTAGATTCCATGTAAACATGTATTCTGTTATGATTGTGCCAATAAATCACCACAAAAATGTTTACGTTGTTCGAATAATATATTGAAGATTGAAAAATGTAATATCGGTACAGTGTTTATTTGTAGTACGGATACATGTCGTCGTACCTATCTAAGTCAACGTGATCTTGAAGCACATATTCAACATCGCCATGTACGAAGAATCGATGCTTTATTACGTTTTTAATGAAATTTCATTAAATTCATTTTTTCCAGAATCATTCATTCATCATCATCCTTTTTATTTGTACAATTTCTTGTTTTGGAATTTTGTAAAATAAAATATAAAATTTATAATTGAAAAAAAAATTTGCTGAATTTTTTTCCCCCTCACCGATACGTCCTTTTTGAATTCATATATCAATTTACGATTCTACGATTCTTGTCGCCTCCGCTATGTTTACATTGATCCCATACACCTGTTGTGTGTGTGTCATTGACAATTGTCAATAAACAAAATTGCCATTTTTACACACACACACACACACACACACACACACACGAACACAGCATGATATCAACGATGATGATAATGACACTTGATTGTCATCTTTGAAAATAAAATAAATAATCTGATCATCATATGTACTCAATGTCAGACAAAAAAAAATAACAACGGAAAAAATCTCCAAGACAAACGACCCCATTTCTTTTTTTTTGGACCACCACCTTAGAAGCCTTGTGTTATACACACACCGACATAAAAGACAGAAAAAAAATTTGGGTCCTTGATGTTGTTCCATGTCCATAAAGGTCAAGGTTTATGCCCCTAAGAAATAGAGAGCTGTCTGTTTGTCTGTTGATTTTTGTCTTATGTGGCCAAACAGACATAACCGTGGGGTATTTTACTATACATTTTTTTTCTCTCTTTACTGAATCCATAAAACGAAACTATCAACGATGTGATTCTTCATCATAAACTGAAAACAAAGATATTATCATCATCGTCATTTGACATATGAAAAAAAAGAGCATTGCCACCACTTGTTGCTTAAACATTATTCTCTTCAACAAGTGTTCCTCATCCTCCTCACTCATTTACTCTTGTCAAAAAAAAAAACGAAGGTTGAATTTGGGTGTTCACATATATTATATATCTGTTGTTTATTTGAGATTCTCGTCGTTTCATTTCTTCAATATACGTGGCACATCTCTCTTTTTTTTGTTATCGTTACTAAAATTCACTATCAATGTGTGTGTATGTGTGTTTGTGGACTTACTCCTGCCTCCTCTTATGGCCATCATCATCATTCATTCATTCATTCATTCATGATCGCTTTTCTCTTCCACCGTAAAACTATGAAATAAAATGATATAAAAAAAACACACAGAACCTTTCTTTTTCATATATGATAATGATGATGTGCGCATGTGTTGCACTTGTCAAAATGAATTTTATTCATTTATCTATAATACACACACACACACACACAGGTGAGATTCAGAGAGATTGTTGAATTTAGTTTTGATTTTTCATTATTATTATTATTATATGATGATAGTAGTCGATTGATTGCATTTGATGATGTTTATCATTTTTTTCCATTTAGTTAGTAGTAGCAGTCAGTAGGTAGTATAGTGTTGTTGTTTTTTTTTTGTTGACCATTTGTTGATTGTTACCGCCCATTTTGTTTTTAGTTTTGTCTCTTGATATCATCATTTTTTTTCACCATCTTCACTCACCCTCCTCATCCTCTTCATCATTATCTGTTGTTCTTTATAACATCAATATGAAAGCTAAGAATAGAGCCTTAGCTTTTATATCAATAACGATGATATATAAAAAAAAGTCATAGGTAACCGGTGCATAAAGAAATAAAGAAGAACTAACTATTGCAACAAAACAAAATTCTCTCTTTCATCACCCTCCCTCCCTCGATTTGTTTGTCCGTTCTGCTATCATTGCCAAAAAATAAAAATAAAAAAAATTCACTTTAGATGGTGTATAGAGTGTTTATTACGTTAAATTGTAGCGTTCATCATCATCATCATACACCTGAAGATAGATAGATAGATAGATAGATAGAAAGAAAGAAAAAAAAACAAGCTTAGTTCAGCTTTTCAGAGAATATCTTTATATTCGATTCGTTTTTTTTTCGTTTTTGGAATAAAAATTGTTGTTTTTGTATTCTCTATATTCAAATCTAACCTTATACATACACACAATATGTTAATAATGATGATTATATAATCGTTACGTCACGCCATATACACACACACATACGCACACACACACATAGCGAAAAACACAGGTCATCAACAAGTGTTTGATTCTCCCCCCTTCATCATCATCATCATCATTATCTAGCTTGCTTTTTTACCCTACCGACCACGACTACGACTACGACAACATAAATAATCGACAACCATACAGGTTAGTGACCCTTATTTATAAGAATTATCATCATCATCATCATCATCATTTTTTCTATTTGATCCCTTTCCCCCTTGATGATGATGATATTGGCGTCAACTGTGAATCACATCATCATCATCATCATCAGATCCTATGTGTACTGTGTGTTCATTAAGGCACAGCCTTGAATTTTTTTCGTTTTTTTTCTGTTTGTTGTTTCTGGTTAAAATGCACAACCTTGTAAAATATATGGAATTGAAAACAAACGCCTCCTCCCGAATTCCTCATTCCCATCAACATCATCATCATCATCATCAGCATCATCATCCTCCTCAACAACAAGTGTTTTTTTTCAGTTGCTTGTCGTCGTTGTGTATTGAAGTGAATTGAATCACAAGTGAATTTTTAGTTTTACTTAGATCTGCAAATAAACACACACACACACACCATCATACACATACACATAAAACACATCATCATCATATGGCCCAATGGCCATTAAACCAAATAAATTTCAAATAAAAACCTAATCATCAATAGGGGGGTGTGTTTGCTGCGAAATAAAGATATGTGGGTGTTGTTGATGTTTGTAATATAACTGAATGATCAACAAGTGACCAACAACAAAAAAAACAATGCATAGACCCTAGGTTCTTATTGTCCAATGTGTGTATGGTGTTTGTTTGTTTGTTTATTTGTTCGTGTCCGAGTGCCTTGTTTTATATCATTTTTTTTCTTTGTTTTTTTTCCGTTTTTTCTGTTTTGTTTTCGGGTTTTTTTTCATTTCTAAAATCACCATCATCATCACACGATCTCATTTCTTGACCAAAGTGAAAACATTGTTTCATTGTTGAGCAATATTAAAAAAAACAAAAATAACCAAAATAGAAAAATTTCAAATAAAATCAACAGATTCACACATATACACACACATAACTCAATAATGCCCGATGCAGCCAAATCGATAGCAACAAGTACCGGTAAGTTTTTTTTGTTTGGTCAAATTTTTCATTTTGGTTATTATTAATCGATTGAATATTGAATCAAATCAAATCAGTGAATGATCAATGATCAATGATCATGGTGAATGGATGAAAACTATTTTTTTCCATCGAAAAATTTTCCAAAAAAAAAAAATTATTTTCCCATTGAATCACACACACACACACACACACACACACACACACGCACACACGATCACCATCACTTTATTAATGATTTTTTTTCCTATTTTGTGGCTATTATTAATTTGAGAAAAACTTTCAAATAAAAATCAAAAAAAAGGAGAAAAAAAAATAAAACGATTTGATCGGTGCTTTAATACCATCATCATCATCATCATCGTTCTTTCATTCGAATTCGGTTATTTCGTTTCGTTTTAATATTTCAAACATAGCAATTAGTTGGACCATATAAATAAATAAATATAAAGAGATGGCGATGAAGATTTGGCTATGTGTAAGTGTTCAGGTGTGTGTGTGTGTGTATTTGATCTTTCTTTTGACTGTTTTTTTCCATTGATGCTGGTCATATCTTATCTTGTCAAGAAGAAAAAGAAGAAGAAAAAAAAACGATGACCAAAATGATGATGATTGGCTTTTATTTGGCGATAGTTTTTTTTTGGAAAGATTTTTTTTTGTGTGTGTGTGTGTGTGTCTTTTTTTTCTAGTTATAAAATATTGTCGTTATTTATTTCACCTGTTACATATGTTGTGATGGTAATGTAATGATGATGATGATGATGATGATTTTTAAGCTGATTATATAATCACAAAAAAAGAAAATGGATGGTGATTGAATCTGGTGACATTAAAATGGTTATATAAATTGTATTGAAACAAAAATAACGTTACTTTATGTTGCCTTATCCATCGTCATCATCATCATCAGGTCATTGGTTAATAATCGGTTATGTGTATGTGTGTGTAGGCGATTGCGAGATTCATCAATTCTGGCGGCATAAGTGTTAAAACATGTTGATGATAGTCAATTTTTGTGTGTGTGTGTGTGTTAATCCTTTTGATATTTCATTTTATTTCTATTGAATGGAATTTATATATAGACTATATATATAGGTTCTTTCATCTATAATTTTATTGGTTCACTTCACTCTTATCCATGGTACATTATTAATCGCACTCTCTCTCCATGTGTGTGTGTCTGTGTTTGATGGAGATTAATATTCTTTTGCTGCTTGCAACTCTATGATGATTGGTTGGTTGGTTGGTTGGCTATATTTAACACCAAAAAAAAAACCAGGACAATATTTGTTTCAGGAACCACAGAACATTATAAAAAAAAATATTAATGATGTTGATTTTACAAAACATATGATGATGATGATGATGACCAGATGACATAGGCGATGCTGTCCGTTATATGATGGTGGTCATCCAATTGAAAGTTATATATTGAAAGAGAACTTGAATTCATCACACATTGATATGATTGTTGTAAATCACAAACAACATGAATGAATGAAAAAAAACAGGACCAAATATAATGGACCTGTTTTTTTTGGTTTCTTTACTTGTCTGTGTTTTTCGATTTTTTATTTCGTCTGTCAAATTTTTTTTCTTTTTTTTTGGATAATTTTCTACTGTAAAAAAATTTTCATTCATCATAGACCATGGTAACCTGTATGTCAATGATAATAACCAGTATTTTGCATCGCTTTTTTCCATTCTTACCCTCCACTACAAACTATAATCTACTACTATCGAATAAAATTGTCAGGTCAGGTCATCACTATTTCATATTAAGCAATGAAATTGAACAACAACAACAACAAAAAATTTCACTTGACTATTTTGAAACAAAATTTTTGCCCTAAAGATATTTTCATGTTCAGAAAAACCTGTTGTCCATGTTGTTGTTGTTGTTGTC